AATGATGTATGATTTATTAAATGGATAAAATGAATGTTTAAAAAATATTAATTATGGTAACATTATATTTTTATGTTATTTTTAGAATATTATTCGATTTGAAGAATAGTATTCTCCATATTTCGAAGACGAAGGAGATTTTATTACAATTTTCATGTATGATTATTATTGATATGACAACGCCGCAATGACGAATTTCCCCCTCTGCCTCTTCAGACTGCGCAGTTCAAGAACCATGCAACTGACTTTACTTACTGATATATGAACAGGTCTTTACAGTCACTGAAAGCCAAACAAGAAGTCGACTCCATATACAGTGTCCCCCATAATGTATGCTACATATGGGGAATTTTTTTATTTGTAGGATATGGAATTTCTTCTTATTTGCGATCGATCCCGTATGTCCGATAACCTAAAAGTACGCGAAAAGTGAGGTTAGATGGCAAAATTTCGAAAAAAGTTATTTGGCAAAAGTGATCAGAACGATGTTTTAGGGCTGTCTGCGTTTGATTACAAAAAACAGCAAATTATTTGTTTTTAGCCATGGATCTCTCATCAAATAATATTATACAATTTTTAATATTGAAATAGTCCAAGTACCCCAATATTTAATGTGTATTGGTAAAAGAAACCTAAATTCTTCATTGGAATGATTCTAGAGGATTAAATAAAAATATTCGACTAGCACATTAAACTTTTCTATAGCAATACCCTGTACCCTGACAGTTTCTGAGATTTCCAATAACTTAGTGTTGATACAACACTTGAAAAGATTCGTTATTGAGATTTTTTATTAAATATTTCAATACAGTCCTAAAACACTTTACCTAACTATCCAGATACAGGGTATTGCTCCAGAGAAGTTTCATGTGCTAATCAATAATTTTGAGGTATTGAGGTACTTAGACTATTTCAATAATAAAAACTGTATATTAGTTGATAAGAGATCCATGGCTTAAAACAAGTAATTCCCTGTTTTTTGTTATTTTTCCTCCAAATTTCGCAGACAGCCCTAAAACATCGTTCTAATCACTTTTTTCAAATAACTTTTTTCGAAATTTTGCCATCTAACCCCACTTTTCGCGTTTCCATATCTAAATTTTCGAATTTGCTGCCACAACAGTGATCACGTGACCAATGTCAAAATGTACTTTTAGGTTATCGAACATGCAGGATCGATCGCACATAAGAAAAAATTCCATATTCTACAAATTTTTCCCCATATGTAGCGAACATTATGGGGAACATTGTATACACTGATTTTAGCAAGGCTTTTGATAAAGTACCTAAATTATGAGGTGTTAATGGGAAAGCTGCAAGCTTTGGGATTTTTTGGAAGTATGCTTGCTTGGTTCCGTAGTTATCTTGGAAATTGATGTCAGTTTGTTAAAATGAAGGGTGCTCTGTCAACATGTAACTTCAGGAGTGCCTCAGGGAGCTCATCTGTCTCCGTTACTGTTCAATGTTTTTATTAGTGATATCTGTACTGTTTTATGGCACTCTGACATACTTTTATATGCAGATCATCTAAGGTTATATAAATGCATTGAATCCATGGAAGACTGTAAGAAACTTCAGGAAGACATTGATCATCTGATTTGTTGGTGTAACCTTAGTTTATGGAATTTAATACAAAAAATGTAGAGGTAGGCGTTTCTATCAGAAAACAAACATCATTCAGTTTGAGTACAGCATAAATGATGAAATCTTAGAGACGGTGGACTGTATAAATGATATGGGGGTTTCCTTCGACAGAAAAATTTCATTCAATAACCATATCAATTACATAACCAGCCAGGCATTAAAAGTTTTAAGATCTATCAAGCGTACTCTGCAAGATTTCACCGATCTGAATTGTTTTAGGGCTTTATACTGTGCTTATGTTAGGTCTGTTTTGGAGTATGCTTGTCAGATTTGATTATAAAGTATATATTATACAGTAACTCGAAAGAGTTCAACGAAAATTTGTTAGCTTACAAGCCTATAAAATGAGTGTGCCAGTCGATCATATCAATTATACCTATATAATGAAACTTCTAAATATTGTTATATTAAAAAGTCGAGTGGTGGTCCTCTCGAACAATGAAGAATGTTTCTTATATAATTTAATTAACTACTTCAATTGACTGTCCTGATTTGCTGTTTCTTGTGATCGTTAAACACAAAGGAATCTACGCAATAATAATCTCTTTGAAGTTGAATATCACAGAACTAATTATGATATTTCTTCTTACTTCTAGCATGATAGATCCTGTAGTTTGGCAAATAGACATAGCATAGATATAGTTTTAGGGAAAGGGTTAGACGGAGCATGTTTTACACGGACTTACATCTAACATAACTGATTGTGAATTGTTTATGGTAGGTTTTTTTTTCTTCATATTGCAACGGCCGCCAGTGTATCAAGAATCGCATAGCAGATTCGAGATTTTACGTGATGTTCGGGAACAACGTCGATCGCGGTTTTTCTGGAATTTACAGGAATAAATTACGGCTATATAAATATAAGGACGGGTTTTAGCTTGTAAGTTTAAGTTTCAGTTTGACTGTGATACGATTTAAATAGTGATTATTATGCGAGTTGTAAGAGTTTAGTTGTTGAGTTAGTTATTAAAGTAATTAATTAGTGTCAGAGTGTATTGTTAAGTGGAATAAATTATGGCTGTGTTAATTGGACTTTGATTTTTGGAATAAACGAAACGAACCCAAGATTTCTGTCCGGCAATCCAGAGCCGTGACAATATTTCTGTGTTTTTTTTTTGTTGTTTTATTTTATTTTATGAACCTTTTATGTATTTATCGTGATTTTTGTCACTTTTTTTAACTGAAAAAACTATTTATTTATTTATTTATTTATTTATTTATTTATTTATTTATTTATTTATTTATTTATTTATTTATTTATTTATTTATTTATTTATTTATTTATTTATTCATTTATAATCGGTTATGATACCAATTCCCAACACACCATATGGGGCAGCACAAACATCAACAAATAGGTGAGTTTTCTTGAATATTTGCTTTCTAACGACCTATAAGACCAATAATGGTGATAAATCTACCTTTGCGACCAGTGCCTTCTCGAGCATAGAAACTCAAAACTCACTGACTGGGGTCTATAAAAAGATGCAAAAGAAGCAGAGGGTGGGTTACTGGGTTAGCTGTATCACGAATGAAATAAACACTCTAATAATAACAGCAGCAGATAGTCGTAGAAAGGAAAACGCCCTGGTGGAACAGAAAGCACAGATCCCTATAAGGGCTGAAAAAAGAAGGTTATTCAATAGGGCAAAACCTACTAATAACTGGGCGAATAGTGAATACAGAATTGCCCTAAGAGAATACAAGAAGGAATTGAAAATATCTAAAAGGAAATCCTGGAGAAATTTCTGCGAGGAAGCTACTGACATCCCTCAGACAATGCGACTACAGAAAGTCCGTGCGAAAGATCACTCAAACGGCAATGGACTGCTACAAAAACTTGATGGCAGTTACACAGAGAGTAAATTGGATAGTGTGAAATTGTTTCTACAATCGCACTTCTCAGACTCGGAAGAGTGTGAGATGAATGACAACAGAGCTCCGGTTGCTAAAGGCGCTCCACGCTGAACGAACGGTACATAACAAAAAGACTGGCCAGAGAAATATTCATCTCAAAAATGGGTGATGAACAATTTTCAGCCCTACAAATCACCAGGAGGAAACAGAATCTTTTCAACCCTGCTACAACAAGGCTTAGAAGAACTTATAACTCCACTAGCAGTAATATTCGAAGCTATAGCCACCTACCAGGTTACACTTTTTTCTGTATTCTGTCCATTTTTTCGTTTGTTTTCAAGTATTATCCATTACCGTAACACCATTTATCATTTTTCACCAGCAAAGCTCCCATCTCCATTATCCATGATGTGTTGAAATATATATCGATTTACAAGATTGGAAAAAGGATTTTTAAAGTAAGCATAATTTGACGTTGGTTTTATGAAGTTCAATTCATAAAATAAGTTGCAAAAAAGTAGTACCAAATACTACTAACGTTACATAATAATTATCCACTATATAAGTAAATACAATTTTAAAGAATGATACGCAATCTTTGCCTCATAAATAAACAAATATATTAAAATAATTTATTGCCAATGAAATCGAATAAAATAAGGCTCTAATATCTACAAAATAATCAACTATTAATGTCCCGATGCATTTTATGAGCAATGAGCAAGTCATAAAGTTCAAGCTGAGCTTAAAATGGTGGTCAAAAATAAATACTTAATATTAATAATTCATGTATTCATCCGATATATCATCTATAAAACGGACGACGGTCATTGAAATACTCTAGTTTTCATTCACATTGGTTTATAGGAAAACATACTTGCCTCAGTTCTATAGATGTATAGTTATAAAAAATAATGAAAAATAATTATTTTGATACAATTTTTAAGAAAAATGCAATAACAAATCTCCAAATATCATTTACCAAACAAAATAACCATACATAGTGGACGTAGCAGTCATGAGAGACTCGGTGACAAGAACCTAATGCATGAGCTGGAAGTGTACAACTTTCTACTCACTAGTCGATCAGAGATAAGTGACCGAAAATTGGGGAGATTTTGCAACAAACAAGCAGCCAATGCAGTGGCGGATTCAGGATTTTCTTTAGGATCCGCCACTGAGCCAATGGAATCGAAAATGTAGATAAACAGTTTATGAAAGGCAATTTGGCGCCTGAAAATTAATCTGAAATTTAGTTGTTAGTTGAGGAATATCAATTTTTCTATTAGAAAAGACTGAAACTGCATTTCATTCAAAACTTTCACGTATTAGAATAGAAAGTGAAAATCTATTATTGATTGATCAAACATTTACTTAGAAACGTAATTATATTGTTTAATCGATATTATAGGTTGTCAGAAAGTAAGAACCTTGGTGTAATTCTGCTGAAACATATTTAGCCAAATAAAGTTTATAAAAAAAATTCATATAGAAGGAAAATGGGAAATACTGAGAGTAATGTCACCAGCGGTGTTAAAAAACAAGCAGGAGCTGCTATGCAGCCAATTTACAAACTTTGCGATTTAAAAGGTACCTACCTATATACATTATTGGTTTGAAAATAATTGACTAACACAATAAGTACCTATATTTTTTTTAATGCAAGGTGGAGGATTACTTGTAGAGCTTATGAAGAGGGCCACCCAAAACAAACAGTATGCCGAAATAGATCATGCTATTAAAACCAAGGTAGGATTTATGATAAAATGTTCAAGTGAGATGATATACTTTGTTTTCAAAAGGTGGAACATTTCCTTTACAACAAAGGCGCAGGTCGCTACATTCCCATTTCTCAGATGGTTCTTTTGAGAAATAAAGAAAGAGCTAGGCATAAACTGGTAAGTGTACCTATAATGAAAAAAATAACACAACATTGCTAATTCTTGTTTTTAAGATTCTTCTCAGTTCCATTAAATTTCTTCTTTATCATTCACTTCTTTTTTATTTGTTTCCTCTCAGATTTGGTTGTTTCTTGTGTTTTTTGTTTAGTTACCACAACTTAAAGGTATGGAGAATCCTGACGAATTCGAAGTAGATGACGAAGGAACAGAAATAAGCGAAGAAGAGTATCGTAAAAGTATGTCGTATTACTGAGTTATAAAAATAAGTATTCGAATAATTTGCAATCAAAGAAAAGACATTCTCAAAACATCGATTCTTGTGATTGAATCTCAATTTTCTTAGATCCATCCAAGTACAGGCCCGTCTGCTGGAAACTAAAGGAAAGAGGCGCAGTAGGAGAAACGATAATGCATCTTTGTTTGCTGAATGCCACATCTTTGCATGCCGACATTGCAAAAAGACTTTTGCGATTCTATCCCAATTTGATTTGGGATATTTACATTTCCGATGAATATTATGGTAAGTAGCCGCATTGCATATAGACGTTTATGCCTTGTTCTATGTCTTGCTAATACGATTCCTCTAATTTTTCTGGATTTATTTGTCTGTTGTTCACGTAATTTAAATTTTAAGGTGAAAACGTGTTACATATTGCCATAGTAAACGAAGATCCGTCTATGGTGAAATTTCTCTTGGCAGCCAACGTAAATATCCAAGAACGATGTTTCGGCAACTTCATGTGCCCGGAAGACCAAAAATCTTCGAGATTCGATTCGCTGGATCACGAATGGGTCAATGTTTGTCCGGAAACCAACTACGATGGGTAAGTTTGATTCTGTCAGAACAATATTACTTTGAAATTGTTCTGGAATTTTCTAGATATGTTTATTGGGGCGAATATCCATTATCGTTTGCGGCATGTTTAGGACAAGAAGAAAGTTTTCGTTTGATTCTAGCAAAAGGTGCAGACCTAGATGCTCAAGATACTAATGGAAATACAATTTTGCATTTGCTTGTGATTTATTCCAAAGTAGTAAGTTTAATAAATATAAAATAAACAGAACAATTTCGCAATATTCAACAACAATTAATTGTTATTATTGATAATATTATTATGATTGTTATATCGATTTTAGGAACTTTTCGATATGGCCTATGAAGTTGGAGCTAGCCTACCGATCAAAAACGTACAAAACTTAACTCCCCTTACACTTACAGCAAAACTGGCACGTATGGATATATTTTTCCATATTTTGAAACTGGAGAGAGAAATATACTGGCAAATTGGTAACTGAAACTAATTTCAAAGTTATAGGTACTATTGGAACAGTCTTGTTCGATATTTTAATCTCTTCAAGAATAGATTTTTTCATGACTGAAAACCGATAATTTTTGTAGGTACTACCGTACTACTTACTTGTTCTTTTTTTAATTTTTAGGAAGCATCACTTGTGCAGCTTATCCTCTGTCCCAAATTGATACGATAGACACTATAACTGGTCAAATAAGTAAAACATCCGCGCTAAACTTAGTTGTGTTTGGTGTAAGTATTGAGGAATTCACATTTCATTCAAACTCTGGCCAAAATCTGTTGTCACATGAAAAATTGAATCAATTGCCACTTGAAAAAACACATAAAGATACAACACCACTTTATTTTAACCTCTTACATTAATTTATCAATTTATACTTTGTAAGAGAAAGCGTTGGCATCTAGAATTAGATAAAAAACAGCATATTAGAAATGATCGGTTTGGCTAGAATATTTAACAAAAAGATCACATTTATAGGACAAAGACGAACATCTAGAACTTCTGGATGGAGTATTAGTGGACCTATTGAACGCCAAATGGAACACTTTTGTGAAATTCAAATTTTATAGACAATTTTTTACATTCGCTTTCTACTTTATCATTTCTCTTATAGGTAAGTTATTTTAATTACAATAAGTGAAATAAAGGGTAAATCATGGAATGAAGGGTAATATTTAATGTAAATTATTGCTCTTCATCTTCTAAATGCACTGGCTGCATCTTTTCAGCTTGATTTCTTTGTTACCGTATCTACTTTTCCAATTTCCATCATCAGCCTATATACCTAATAATTATTGTTTTTAGCTTTCATCCATAGACCAGGTCCATCAATTCACGCAGAAGTTTCCAAAACAAGTACAAACACGACTAAGCACACAAGCGCTTTCAATATAACTCCGGAAAATGTATCTGCAGCTTTAAACCTAACAAGTCAAATAATGAAAAACTTGCATAAAGCCGTCAAAAAAGGTAAGTGATGTTACGGGTTCAAATTTCAATTTTTCTTTTACCAAAAATGTATTCAGTGACTTCCTAAAATTGTCGGTACCATCTGGTTAATTTTTGAAAGTAGATAATTGATTTATTGTTTTTGAGAGCTAGACAGCTATTTCTGAGTTCTGTTTCTGGCTGGGATCCTATAGAACAGGGTGGAAAAATAGTTTGGATGTTTTAATTAAATAGGAAAGTTCACATTACTTTAGATTGAGTTCTACCATTGGTTCTACCAGTTCCATATTGACAAAGATGTCAATGACGTCTTGGGTAATTCAACTTAGGTCGTTAGAATTCCCTCAATTGACAGGATTCTGGACTCGTGCTGGAGGGGATTCCTAACCTCTTTCTTTTAGAAGAAGATTCCTGACCAGGTGGTTGATTTTTCTTCTTGGCTCTGCCGATTTAATAAGTAGCCTACTTTCACTTTAATTTTGGAATTAAGTTTCGTTTTGCCTTCCTTAATACGCTGTGCAACCGTTCTGGCTTTATGCCGATTTAACATAATTAAAGTTGAAATTGACTGGTACGGTTACGATTTAATTTTCCACTCCAAGGCCATATAACAACAAGGGTAAGATTTCTCAGTTTTCTAGTTTCTTTATACTCCCTTCCTAAAACCATCCTTACTCAGAAAATGTAACTATTAACATTAATTGTCCTAACTTACCCCTTGTATGATTTGTATCAGAAATCCTTTCTTATACTTGATTCTCTTTAAGCCTGCTCATACTGCTCATAACTGCTCACATGTGCTCATAACTGCTCACACGTGCTCATAACCGCTTGCATGTGCTCATAACTGCTCACACGTCTCTATAACTGATTACACGTGTCTCTATTGGCTTCCATCTACCTCTATCTACCTCTATCTGTTCTACCTACTTCTATTGGCTTATAACTGCTTCCATCTGCTTGCTTATGACCGTCTGTACCCAAATCTAGTCCTGGTTTCGAGGCCTAGCTATACCACCATTAGTGGCAAATTACAGGATAGATTCCCCCTATACTAGACCATCCTACGTTCTATCTTCTGGAAGGTAATGCTCGAGGTAAGTTTTGGCAGTTTAAAGGAACAATTGTTGGGTAAGCCTATTTTTATTATCAACAGTGGATTCTGATTCATGGGCAGCAATTTAAAGTATAGCCTAATTCCTGGATAAATAGAGGTATATTTAGTTTATAGGTTAGTTTCATTTATTATTAATCATTACCTTTTATTTACGACTAATGTATAATGTGCGTATTATATTTGTGATTTTGGCAGTATAATGACATATGTTATTCCTCCAGGGATTAATGACGAGTAGCGGGATTAATGGTCATTATTCCACAAAAGTGTCAGTGTCAAACGTGTACTGCCTGTGGATTTGTATTGAAAATTATGAGACAGATGAAATTTGTTCATTGAAAATCTCAAATAAATTAATTTGTCATAAATAAAGTAGAGTATACTACTCGCAATAATGGCTATTATTCCCTCGCAATGTTACTCCCTCGCCGCTAACGCGGCTCAGTTCGTAATAATCCTCGGGAATAATAGCTATCATTATTGACTCGTGGTATAATCTACTATTATATTGATCTCTATGACTGATTATTATTAATGGGACTATAATAACTAGAGTATAGCTTACGTATTAAGTAAAGCTTTGCACCTCAAAAACTTTGATAGTATTTGCGTTTTTGATATAAATTTGCAGTATTTGATTTAATATGAGAGTACTTTCGCTGTTTCCTGTTTTGTTTTTAAGAGCGGATACTTTCTTTCTGGAGGGCTAAAACAGGTGGCGTCCTATATTATGTATTATACACGACCACTCTACTGAAGAGTTAGCTGGCTGCCCTATAAGGAAGTACTCCAGTACAGTAATATATCGTCGGCCACCTTCTGGGTTATAGTAGTTCTGGTCCTGGATTGACAATAGTCTGGGCAAAAAAATATTTGTGACAAATTCTAATAAATTTTTCTTATGGCAGTGATATTTACTTTGCATGATTTTCTCTTATGTTCAATTTTCTAGATAACATGGATCATAACGATGACGATGATTACGATGTCGAAGAATGGTGGGATAATTTACAAGAAGAATGCAGATTGATGAATCTAGACAAAGAAGAGTCGCAAGTTAGATTCGCCGCTGAAATCGGTATAACTTTTGGTGCTTTTTTTTATCTGGCAGCTGCTGTGAGGGAAGCTCGCTTTCTAGGGCTGCGGATGTTCTTTGAGAACTTGGTAGGGGAAAAACAATTTTTTCATTGCACCTAATTAAATATCCACGTTCTTGTTTAGATGACCGCACCTTCTCGTGTCATGTTTCTCTTTTCTTGTATTCTGGTGTTTGGGGTGATACCGTGGTTGCGCTTGTTGTGTCTTGATGAAATTGAAGACGTCATCGCGGTAGTTGTAATGTTGACTACAGCTCCGTATTTCCTGTTTTTTTGTAGGTAGGTACTATAAAATATTCCTTTTCCTGTTATTTACGTAACATCTTTCGTTATATTTTAGAGGCTTCAAAACAGTCGGCCCTTTTGTAGTTATGATCTACCGCATGGTGATGGGTGATCTTTTGCGTTTTGCCGCTATATACATGGTATTTGTTATGGGATTTTCTCAAGGTAAGAAATATTGTATTGTCCATGTCACACAAATAATGTCTAATATTTGTTTAGCTTACTACATAATATTTTTATCATTCGATAATCCATTGACACCTGAAGATGTTGACGATTCTAAAACTAATCCAATGTCCACTCCTGCTGAATCAATAATGGCAATGTTTCTTATGTCAATGACCAACTTTGGAGATTATTATAACGCCTTTGCAAGAACCGAACATGAATATGAAGCGAAAGTAAGGAAGCAACATGATCACGGCTCAAGCTAAATGCTTTTTTCCAGATTTTGTTCGTTATTTTTATGGCAATTGTTGCCATTTTACTTATCAACATGTTGATCGCAATGATGGGAAATACTTACCAGAAAATCGCCGAGACTCGCAACGAGTGGCAGAGGCAGTGGGCTCGCATTGTACTAGTGGTGGAAAGAGGTGTCAGTCCTCCAGAGCGACTGCGTCAACTCAATGTTTATTCTCAACCCATGAGCGATGGTAAAAGAGCACTGGTACTAAGACTTAACCAGTCAGTAAGTAAAAAATCTTTATCTTTCTCAACATCATCTTTTTCTTTATACTCTTTTTTCTATGTTTGCAAATTTACTATCGATATCTTGTTTCAAAACCTCCTTGAATGCTGTTAAACCTTCAGTTTTTAACGGGAGCTCTATCGAAAAAAAAACACGAAAGACCCCTATTTAAAAAGCAAAGCCCCCTGGAAGTCCTTAAAAAAAATTTTGAGGCCGATTCGGACGAAATTTGGAGGGTAAAAGGGGTCTGAAAAAATTGATATTCCAAGTTTCAGGCCTCTACGACTTACCGGAAAGGTTTTAGCCCCTATCCCTCCAATTTTGAGAACGGACGTGTAATGGGGTATACACGTCCTGCATTTTCCCAAATTTCGAAAAATAAAAAATACCATTAAATAGAGGAGCAAAAAATACGTCGAAAATGTCTCTAGGCGTTTTTCGCTCCAACGCTTCCTAAGCCCGCAAAAAAATAAAAGTTCTCTTCAAAACCATAAAAAGAGCTTCATACTTTACATATACAGAGTGTGTTACTAAGCGCGCGGTGGTCCATATCTCTTATACTAACGAAGATCGAAGAAAAAACTAAACCTTTAATGCCTAGGCAGTAAAAATACACCTTTTGAGCCTGTCAAGTATCATTAAAAAGTCACTTTTCTGGGTGCGTTATTTCTGAACGTAATTGGGGTGTTGCAGTAAATGTCAACGTCAAACCCGTTAAAAACCTTGGGGCATTTTTCAACCCAGTCCCTGGGGCCAGTTCAGGAATGACACACCCAGTGTGAGTGTGACACCGGTGCGACGTCCTAACTGTTCAAAAATGCTAGACGGTGCTATGGGCCCAATGGCCAATTGTCAATTGAGACACACCGATAAAATCGCACTCGCACCCTGTGCGTTATTTCTGAACTCGGCCCTGTGGTATTGGCTTGGAAGACAGACGGTCAGAATTCTCTCAAAGAACAATGAGAAGCTGAATAGATAGAAAAACAATATAAATAGTAGGTATGTAGTAGTTTGTACAGGGTGGCCCGTTTATTTTGTCCTATCTCGGTATATGGAAATCTAGATATTTTAGGAGAAAAAGTTAAATACAAAAGTTGTAGGGCTTAAATCATTAATTTGTTTTTTTATATTTGCGCATATACAGGGGGATTCAAAAAAAGTGTGACACATCAGATTTAATTTTTTTTAATAGAACACCCTGTATATTTTTGGTATTTTGCGTTTTTCAACCCAGTCCTTAGGTGGGGTAATTTGGGCGCACTCTGGGCACGTCAGCACTCGATTTCTGAACGATTCCAGCGTTACGCTCCGAGTAAGCAATTGTTAATTTATGAACGGTTTAGAGTTAGGGCGATTTCGATTGGAATTTGGTCCGGTTTCGGCGTCGGCGTTTTTGAAAGCACCCCATTCATGTCCTTGGATGTAAGTTTTTCAGTGTTGTCCATGATTAGGTACTCATTATTTTCGGAATTTTCTTGAAGATCATTCCTGTTTTTCTTGCTTTCATTCAGTTTTCTCTCGAGATAGGAATTTTTTTCACGAAGAAGTGTTGCTCTTCCAAAATTCGATTTTTTTTTTGCCCTGTGGCTCATCAACTAGGATCCTTAGCAAGCCTACCTCAGTATCTGACTCTTTTGAGGTTATGTCTATTGACTCACCAACTTCATGGAAACAACTTGCAGTTTTCGACGCTGCAGCCTGTCTAAAACATGCAGGATAGAAGAGACATGAGCAATGCTTGAGCTGAACACTATTTTTTACAGATTTATTACAATAAACACAATTTTTCGATTTTATTTTGAACACCGTGATCGCGTGTATCTCTTGCCATGGTTGACACTGGTAATGCTATTTCTGAGTTTCAGATTCACTTGCGATATGTTTTATTTGATAAAAAGATACTAATTATTAGATCCTGAAACTATGAAGTCGTTCTGATTCCTTGTAGGTAGGTAGGTAGTTTTCAGAACCTTCTAGATAATATTTATCAAGAATTTTACAAGAATTTTTGGTACACACAAGGAAAAGGAAAAAAATAAACCGTAATTCTGTTTCTGAGTTTCAGATTCACTTGCGATTTGTTTTATTTGATAAAAATATCGTAATTATAAGATCTTGAAACTTTGAAGTAGCTTTGATTCCTTGTAGTACTTTTCAGAACTTTCTAGATGTGATTTATTAAGAATTTTACAAGAATTTTTGGTACAGTCAACAAAAAAAAAACCCGTAATTCTGTTTCTGAGTTTCAGATTCACTTGCGATTTGTTTTATTTGATGAAAAGACACTAATTATCAGATTTTAAAAGTTTGAAGTCGCTCTGATTCCTTGAAGTTTTTTCAGAACCTGCCAAAGTGCCAAAGGTGGCTTATTAGCAATTTTACAAGAATTTTTGGTATAGACGACAAAAAATAAAACAGTTATTCTATTTCTGACTTTCAGATTAACTTATGATTTGTTTTAACTAATAAAAAGAGCCGAATAATCAAATCTTGAGAGTTTGAAGTAGATCTGATTACTCGAAGTATTTTCCAGAACTTTCCAAAGTTGATTTATTAGGAATTTAAGAAGAATTTTTGGTAGGTACACACTACGAAAAAAAAATTGAATTCTATTTCTGAGTTTCAGATTCACTCGTGATTTGTTTTAATTGATTAAAAGAGCCTTATAATCAGATCTTGAAAGTTAGAAGTAGATCTGATTTCTTGAAGTATTTTTCAGAACTTTCCAAAATTGATTTATTCGGAATTTTACAAGAATTTTTGAAGATGAAGAAAAAAAACCGTAGTTCTATTTCTGAATTTCATATTCACTTGCGATCTCTTTCATTTGATAAAAAGACGCTAGTTATCCGATCCTAGAAGTTTGAAGTCGTTCTGATTCCTTGAAGTATTTTTTGGAAGTTTCCAAAGGTGATTTATTAGTAATTTTACAAAAATTTAAGGTGAAGACAACGAAAAAAAAAAGAGTTTCGGATTCACTTGCGATTTGGTTCATTTGATAAAAAGACCCCAATTATCAGATCCTAAAAGTTTGAAGTCGCCCCGATTTCTTGAAGGATTTTTGAGAACCTTCCAATTGATTAAGTAGCAATTCTACAAGAATTTTTTCTAATAACGACGAAAAAATATCATAATTCTACTTCTAAATTTTAGATTCACCTCAGATTTGTATTATAAGATTAAAGGGTTTCAATTATCTAATTCTAAGAGTTTGAAGTCGTTCTGATTCCTTGAAGTATTTTTCCAAAACTTTCAAAGGTGATTTATCAGCAATTTTACAAAAAAAAAAAATGTATTAACGACGAAAAAATATCATAATTCTATTACTTAATTTCAGATTCGCCTCATATATCAGATAAAAAGACTCCAATTGATAAATCCTGAATGTTTGAAGTCGTTTTGATTCCCTGAAGTATTTTTCTGAGGTGTCAGAACCTTCCATAAGACTGGACGATTTGTGTCTCGATATTGCTTAAAAAGTGTAATTTTTTCCCTAACTTGTTAATTGAAACAGGTCTCAGAAATATTTTCTTGGGGGCCCTACGTTGGGCGCCAATTTGTTACAAATAATACTAGGTTATTTGTACTTTAAGACAAGAGAACCTTTAGGGTCGTGGAATTTAAAAAATTAAGATAACGTGTAGCCGCTTTATGTGCAAATGAAACCACTTAAAATCCAACAAATAATAATTTTATTTTATATTTGTAATATATGGAAAAATCTACTTTCTACTGACCTAAAATACTTTTTTTAGGACGAAGAAAAAGAAGAAATGAAAGACATATTGGAAATCAAGAGACGACATGACAGACACGTGAAAAAACGCAAAGACAAAGAAGCCGGCAATAAAAGCGTTTCATTGGCCAACGTCCAAGAAAAATCTGGAACTACTATTAAAATACAACAATAAATGCCATTATTTATTTTTAAGCAAATTAATAGACAACAATTGTTATTTGTCATTTATTAAAATTTCCCAGGTGTTTCCTGAATCGGCAAAGCAGGCCCTCAGCATTTCTTCTGCCAGGTGAGTTTCCTTATGAGGCGGCACTGATATCCTAAAAAAAATGAAATAGATAATTTAGACATCTCAATTATCTATCCATAGATGAAAGTAAACAATAATCCAAGAATTACATATATTAGACTCTCATTTATAATACTTTAGCCCTCGCTATCAGCAAATGTTTAAAACCTTTGTGTGCTTTGGAGAGACATTTCCAGGTGCGATGGTATTCTTTCGCCTAATATTTTATTGTAAATAATATGATTTAAAATAAATCACGTATTTCATTTTCATTGCATTATCCCAAATCTGGTTTTTTCCAGGACAAAGTAAGAAATAGAGGCGAGAAATTCCCAAGTACCAAAGCTTACTTGTAAAAAGTATCAACAGCTGGGCATAATATGTCAATTGCTTGTTTTGGCTCATCCCTATCCATCAACTCGAAAGCCACCATGTACTGATCTTCGCACCACTTAAGCATTGATTCTGTATCAGACAAATCAATATTGCTTTTGCATTTTGGGCACTTGATTGTCCGCCGAGCCGTAGACAGGGTGAATATATGGAGACATTGGCTTGTGGGACATCTTAAAATGGTTTCAAAATCATGAAGAATTTTATAAATATGGACATTACCTCAATCGTTTACTAACAGCCTCTAATCCTTGTCCGATTGTAGGCCAATTCTGTTGACAAGCTAAGCATTGACAGTCGAACCAATATCTGGAAGACA